CAACAAGGGCTTCTGCTATCGCTCTGAGTAAAAGCCACTGTCTTCACCGTGGCCTGTAAGTTCTATACTCTCTGGCTCCCCTTTGGCTCTGCGACCTCATCTCCTGCCCCTGGTTCACTGAGCTCCAGCCACAGGGCTTTTTTGTACCATCTCACCTTAGGACCTTTGCACTGGCTGTTCCTCTGCCTGGAAGCTTCTTTACTGGCTGTGAGCACGGTCACCTCCCGTAGATCTTAATTACAAGTGTCGCCTTCTCAGTGAGGCTGCCCTGACCACCCTCATAAAAACTGCAGCTTCCCACCGCTCATGATTCTCTACAACTTGCTGTTTCTTTTTTCTTTAACGCTTACCACTGTTGAAGATACTCTCTGTGCTCATGAGTATTTCTTGTTTATTGCCTGTCTCCCTCCACCAGGTTGTGAGCTCTGTAAGAGCAGAGATTTTGTCTCTTGTCTATTGATGCTAAAGAAGAGCTTCTGGCACAAAGTAGTAGTGTGATCAATATTCGTTGAATGCATGAGTAATTAGGAACTATGAAAAGGGCTAGGAGTGCACTTACAGATGATAGAAGTAGATCAGCAGCTGCTAATAGTTGTTGAGCCCGGACTTCTTGCCATGCCCTATGCTAAGGGCTTTACATGCTTTTGTCTTATTTAATCCTTACAAGGATGCCAAGAGATAGCTACTCATAATATTCCCATTTGACAGTGAAAGAAACTGAGGCGTAGAATATTTAAATAAATTGTCCAAAGGCACACAGCTGGGAAATGATCCACTTCTAGTTAGGTTTAGGACCTGTAGCCTCTAACTAATAAATCTAGAGGAAATTATGGAGGGGAAGTATGCAGGGAGACAGGGAAGCATATTTCATTGTTAGCAATGCTCTTCTCAGAGTGTCTGCATTTAATCTCAGCGTATTTACTGTTAATTTTTAGATAAGGGAGGCTTTGGCAGGTAGTTAATCCTACATCTCCAGAAGTGCATTCTGTGTCCCTCTTTTTTTTTATTGTTTAGACCCAGATCTTTCTGTCCCTTCTGGAAGTGGAAGCCAGTGGGCTTCAGTCCAGGTGGATGTTTGGTGGTTTCCAGTATCCTTTTCCAGGACAACACAAGGACGTGTCCTTTGGGGAAACATAAGTGGTGTTTCCCCTCCCCCACAGGAGGGTGCAGATCCGTGCTCAGCCAGTGATGCATCTTAAGAATTCTTAGGAACTTGACTGACTGCAGAACATCTACTCCCCTGTGCTGTGGTCCCTCGGGGGCCAGGCCATGGTTCCTGGACTCACTTCTAGGGCATGTCTTCTTCTTGATGCCGGGGTGGTCCTTGCCTTCCGGGACATGAAACACTCATCATCTGTCAGAGGCTCTACTCAGGTGTCTGGCTGGATCTTGGGGCCTGAGCCTAGACCCAGCTACCAGTAGGAGGCCTGATCTGAGCATGAAGCTGCCGTGTCTTCCTGCTCGGCAACTGCATGAGTTTTCTATGCTCTGTAATAAATTACCACAAGTTTACTGGTTCCAACAACATACATTTATGATCTCAGTTTCTGTAGCTTTTCTGGGCTCTCTGCTTCAGGTCTCATCAGGCTGCGGTGGAAGTATTGGCTGGGGCTGCAGTCTCATCAGGGGCTTGACTGGGGAAAGGTCTGCTCCCAAGCTCTGTTTGGTGGTGGGCAGAATTCATCTCCTAGGGCTGAGATCTCTGTTTCTTGAAGGCTGTCATCCAGGGACTGCCCACAGGGTGCCCTGGCAGCCTGGCAGCCAGCAAGGGCAAGGTGTAGCTCTCATCTGCTAAGGTGGAGTCTTATGGTGTCACGTCATCACGAGAGGGATCTCCTGCCCCTTTGTCTGGTTCTTTTGATTAGAAGCACGTCGCAGGCCCTGCCCCCACTCAGGGGGAGAGACTCTACAAAGGCATGAACACCAGAAAAGGAAGGTCATTGGGGGTCACCTTAGAGCAACCACAGTTACTGCCCTCCCTCCACCCAACCTCCCCCCCAAGTGCTGAGAAGCCCAGATGCTCCCACTGGCAGCCCCCGTAGGCAAGCTTCAAGCTTTTGTGGATTTGATACAGTTTTTCACAGGGCTGCTGGCAGGGAGGGGCTTTCTGTGTGACTGTGCCACCCACCCAGCTCTGGCCTCACCCCTCACAGAGTGCTGACTTGAGGGCTTGGGCATCTGTCCTCGGAGTAGTCAGGGGTCCTTGCCACACCCCTCCCCTGCAGCCGCCCTTCCTTGTTCCAACCCTTTCATTTTAAACTGTGGAGGTAATTCCTGTAAGGCAGGGGAGACCTTTAGTTACTCGCCTATTCCTCCAATATGCATGGCTTTGCTTTCAAGTGACCATAGGCCGAGATGTGAGTTTTCATGTTTCATCTAGAAAATTTGTAATAATGCCTATTTTTGTCCACCTTTTGTGCTTCTTTCAGTTCAGATGTAACTGAGTTAATTATCTGATGAAATGAACCAGAGCTTGCTTTCCTCCTCGGAGTACTTCTTGTTCTAGAAGCAAAGCTGAGAGTTATTAGATCCTGTACTAACAATTATCCCTTGTGCGTCTAGCGAGTCTGGCCTGTGAGTTGTTTAAAGACAGACCCGTCTTCCCTCCATTCATTTTATGGGTGTTTTACAGAGTGGATACAGTGTTGACTTATTTTATTTTATTGTTGTGGTTTCTTATTGAAGGATTCTTTTTTTTAATTGAAGTACAGTTGATTTATAATGTTGTGCCTCGGAGCAACTAAGCCCATGCACCACAACTACTGAGCCTGCGCTCTAGAGCCAGCAAGCCACAACTACTGAGCCCGCAAGCCACAACTACTGAAGCCCGCATACCTAGAGCCACGCACTGCAACAAAGAGTAGCCCCCGCTCACTACAAATACAGAAAGCCTGTGTGCAGCAACGAAGACCCAACACAGCCAAATATAAATACATTTATAAAAAAATAAAATGTCAGTGGGTATTTATAAATAACCTTGTACAGTCTGGTGTTAGTCCCTGTGTGACAGCAGTGGGGATTTCACATCCTATTTTCCTCTTCCTATTCCTGTCTTTGTTGTTTGAGATGCCACACAATGCATATGACAGTATCTTGACTAAGTCTTCTCTTTCAAAAGTCTGGAATCTTCTGCTTTAGTTCCTCTTAGCATGTCTTTTGTTTAGGGTGGGGAGAGAGTAAGAACATGGGGGAAAAAGGGAGAACATGAGTCTAATCTCTGATGAAGTTTTTAGGCGAGAAGGCTGAGGTTCATAATTGGTTGATTCTTTTGGAATTAGTTTATTCCAGTTTGGCCAGTTTGGAATCAGTTGATTCTTTTACATTTCAAAAGTATGCACCTCAGTCCCTACCCCTGAAAGGGTATGTTAGAGAGAAAAATAAAATAAATTATTGATATTTGCTTACCCAATCACAGTTGCGCACCTGGGGAAAACCAAATCCTCTTTAATTTTTCCACTTTTGAATTTCGTGTGAATCATACTCAGATGGTTAATGGCAGCATAAATTGCTTTGAATGATATATAAGACTCCTAGAAATTCATCTTTAAAATATTATAGCAAATAGGCATTCAGAAACTATTTATTTGGTGGGATATACGTGTCTCAGGAATTCAGTATGAAGGCACCCGTCCTGGCTACACCTGCTCTCACAGGGGCTGCAGGGGCCCCTCCTCGGTAGGGACCCTCCTAAGTCGGCTGGGAGGGCCCTGCTCTGCCCTCGGCAGTGGAGAGTTGCTGTACACGTGGTGTGAGCCCTGGAGAGCCCGGCCCTGGTCTCCAAGTCCCCCTTCCCACAAGGAAAGGGCACGGTCTGCTGGCCTTCGACTGATGTCCACTTCCTGTTGTCTGACGTCCGGCAGGGTCAGCCATTCACCTTCAATTTGTGACAACCACGTGGCTCTCAGGAGTCCGTCAGCCCCATAGTGTCACCCAGGGGTCCCTCAAAGGAGTGACACGGAGTGGTGGGATTTCCTTCTGGTGACCACTTGCTGCTGGTTGTCCCAAGTGCACCCAGCATTGAGTCACGTGCACATCTATATGAGGGGGATGGAGAAGCAGCCACACCACCTGGTCGGGGGGCTGTGATGGGGGGCAGGGCACGCTGGACGCCTCCATCTCAACCGCAAGGTGTTCGGTGTTTGCTTCCGACAGCCCTTCACGTCCGCTCTCGTCCCAGGATTTCTACTTCATTTGCCTTATATTCTTTTCTTCATGCATCTTTAGTTTTGATAGATTTTGCCAGATTGCCCTCTGTAGGGGTTGAACGCTTTAAAAGTCTTTTAAGGGCTTCCCTGGTGGCACAGTGGTTGAGAGTCCGCCTGTCGATGCAGGGGACACAGGTTCGTGCCCTGGTCCAGGAAGATCCCACATGCTACGGAGCGGCTGGGCCCGTGAGCCATGGCCGCTGAGCCTGCGCGTCCGGAGCCTGTGCTCCGCAACGGGAGAGGCCACAACAGTGAGAGGCCCACGTACCGCAAAAAAAAAAAAGTCTTAAAAATTAATTTTTAATTTTCTAAGTGATACGTGAATATATTCTCTTCCAAAAAAGTGAAAAAATTAGAGATACAGCCAAAGTCACTTTTGATCACCAGCACAATCCCCGCCCGATTCCTACACTGGCCCTCACCTTCCCCCCAGAGGTCACTGCTATTATTGGTTTGCCAATGGGAAACATACATTACTGGAGTGTGTGTGTGTGTGTGTGTGTGTATGTGTGTGTGTTGTTTAAGGTATAAACCTTATTGTACTAAACCCATCATTCTATAATGATGTGTTTTCCTTGATGATATGTCTTGGAGTTCTTTCCATGAAGTATTAATAGGTCCCTCTATATTATTTGAGTTGTTAACCGTAAATTAGTTTTTCAGAACTGCCTTTTTGACAGTTACTTTCAGGAAAGAAATTAGGATTTCATTCAACACCCAGTGATTCTTTTTTTTTTTAATATGTATATTGTGCAAAATCTTAACTTGTGCGTGTGTGTGTGTTTATCTTTTCAGATCTCAGAACACTGATCTTCACAATGAAGGCTACATCTTGGAATTAGATTGCTATTCTTCCCTAGACCACCTGACAGACCAAAAAATCATCCCAGAGTTCATTAAGAAGGTGAGTGCTGCAGTCAGGATGCAATTAAACCGGCTCGCCAAGCGCTTGCCTGAGTGAATGGCTGGGGGCTGGCTGAGGGCAGGTGGGCTGCACTCCCCAGGCCTGTTCTGACCTGGGACTTTGGGTGGCCTCATGGGGGGCAGTCCATTCCCACTCAGGCTGGCCTTGGCTCTGGAACATGGTGGCTTCCCCTCCTCCCAGGATGGCAGACCCTGTGTTTTTAGGGCTGGAGTGGCGTTAACAGCTGACAGGCCTGCTGGCCCACTACCAGCATCCCCTTCAAATCCTCAGGGTGGTGTGAGCCCCCCAGATCCCACCTTCCTCTCCCCCTGTGGGTCTTCATTGTCACGAGCCCCCTTTCTTTCCTAGAGCGGGAGCGTGCTACAGTCCGGTGACCACTGGCATGCGATCATAGCAGGGAAAATTGCCTCGTTGCAGGGGGTTCATTTTCTGCCCTGAAATATGTCTGGTTTTGAACTTCTCTTTGAGCCATATGAGGTTTCCTGCCTAATTGCAGGGTGAGCTGAGTTTTAATACGATGACGTTTACTGCAGGAGGAATGTCCTTGCCCAAACTGGGGCTAAGTTCATCGCTTAATGCTTGCCTTGTCCTCCCCTTCCCAGTCTCCCAAACTAATTGGCAGTTCCCCCCGCCACCGTCATGTAGAGGTGATTGTGGTTTGTCTGAGATCCAGTCAATCAGTGAATTCTTTAATAAATATTGTTGGTTGTTGTCAGGCCAGAAATAGTACTAGGTGCTGGCACGCAGAGAGCAAAATAGCCGTGGTCCCTGGCCTCGTGTCCTCACAGTGAAGGCTCTTCTGAACCCAAGTCAGGAGCATGACCAGGAGGGGAGCAGCAGACAGACAGCGTGTGGTGTGGGAATCGGGGAGGTGCCTTGGGCTGAGACAGTAGGATTAGGCCTGATGGGGCTGTAGTGGGCGGGTTGGGGTCCCTCCGAACAGAGGGAGCAGCATGTGTGAGGGCCTGAGGGGAATGAAAAGAAGATCAGAGGACCTTTGGCAAGAAAGGGGCCATGAGGGGTGGAAGGAAGGGCCAGGACTCGGCTGTGAAAGCAACAAGAGGCCGTGGAGAGAAGTTCTGCAGAAAAGTGGAATTGGATGGTCCCTTTAAACAACCAGTGATTCTATTTTTTGTTTGTTTGTTTGTTCACTCTCTGCCTCCCTCTCTTCAACATTTGTGGAGTGTTCAGGCTCTACAAGGCCCTGGAAATAACCACTCGGTTATGATGGGAGCTGAGACCTGTAGCCCAGGAATCGGATGACCTCTTAGGTCAGACATTTGGGTAATTTTACTCGGGCGATGGAGACTCTTACTGCTATGGTAGAATTCAGATCATTTTTAAGAAGTGGGAGGAAAAGCAGTTTCAGTTCACACATGCCTAAGCCTGAGAACATGGGTGCTTTCATAACTCAGAGAGATGTCTGTATAAATAGGGCCATCTTCTTTGGATTGCTGCAAATAAAATGTTCTCATAAACTTGGTAGGGGCATTCTAGAGGTGGGATTTACCCCGTGATCTGAGCACTGGGGAAAAATAGTTGTAGAAATGGTTTTGTAATTAGACTCAGATGCTTGGAATATTTGAGGGGCGGGTTGGTAAGATGAGGGCATCGGCTCTGGCCATACTATCAAACAGGCTCTTTTAAAAACATGTGATTTGGCACTTTTGTCTTAACCAAACCAGATCACTGCGGGACTGACCCATTGCCTTGTGGCCATATCAGGTCGTAAACAGCCTGCTGAGTGGACACTCAGATGCCGTGTGTCTGCAGTGCCTGCAATGCGGGTGGGCGTCTGTCCCACAGAGGACAGAACCTCAGAGTTATGGTTTATATGCCCTGAAGGACATCAGCCACTTTTGTGTTAACTTTTACTTTTATCCCAACATTCTTTCCCCCCCACTGATTGTGTGTGTGTGTGTGTGTGTGTGTGTGTGTACTCATGGCAGTATCTCATGATTTATTCAATAATTGGTTAAATGGATCATTGACACCTGCTTATTCTATGTATGTATAAGGATTCTGTTTTTAACATTAAAAAATTACTTTTTTAATTGAAGTATAGTTGATTTACAATGTGTTAGTTTCAGGTGTACAGCATAGCAATTCAGTTATAAATATGTATATGTATATATACATGCATACATATATACGCACACACACACATATATTCTTTTTCATATGCTTTTCCTTTATACATTATTACAAAATATTGAGATAGTTCCCTGTGCTATACAGTTGGTCCTTGTTGTTTATCTGTTTCATATATAGTAGTGTATTTATGTTATTCCCAAACTCCTAATTTATCCCTTCTCCCAACCTCTCTTTGCCTTTGGTATCCATAAGTTTGTTTTCTGTGTCTGTGGGTCTATTTCTGTTTTGGAAATAAGTTCACCTGTATGTTTTGGTTAGATTCCACATATAAGTGACATATGATATTTATCTTTCTCTGTCTGGCTGACTTCACTTAGTATAATAGTCTCCATGCGATTCTGTTTTTAGCATTTTGAAGAGGATACACTTTAAAGCCCACTGTGCCATCCTGCCTCTGCCTGTGCAGCAGGCACAGGGTGCCTCTGTACCCCTGGTTTTCAAATACAAATGACTGGGTTCAGGCAGACTAGACAACTTGCACACTCAGGTAGCACTGAGATTTCTGAGCCAGAATTGGTCTCCAGATGTGTATCTCGGAGCCTCTCACCTCTTTTTCTCTCAGTACAGACATATTTCATGGTTGTGGTCAGCAGAGTGAAAGGGAAGCTCCCCACTCTGGAGAACCCAGGTGTTGAGGTGGCCTGGCCATTTGGCCCTGCCCTGTCGGTCCGTGGCTGGGGGCTGCACCTGGGAGGATCTAGTGTTTCTGGCTGTCATTGCTGGCTGTGGCTCTAGTTCTAGGCCAGTGGCCATGACAACCAGGAGAAGAGGTACAAAATGATGGGACTGAGCCCCCTTCCCTTTGCTCCCCTTTTCTGTTGTTGGACATGATTTCTGGAGAAAACACCACCTCTGATGCCAAGAGGAGAGGAATGGGGGCCTCTCTGCAAGGTCAACAGCTGTTGCAGCTGATGGCTGAATTGCGCACGTGTGTACATTTTCCTGTCATCACATGGGTAGAAGACTACAGGAGTTCCCTGGGAAGAAAGACAGTAAAAATTATTTTGTGTATTTTTAGTAAATATTTAATGAATAGCTTGGTCCCCATATATAAATATGTGTGTGTGTGTGTGTGTGTGTGTGTGTGTGTATGTGTATAACAAGTGGTGACATTTGTTAATTGCCATTCACTTAGACTAAGATGAAGCTGTGTCACTGGCAGCTACTGCTTACAGCCATTCCTTTTTTATCTGGGTCATTATTTTGTGTGAAATAATGGCTCCTGTCCCTATGACAAGTAGATCCATCTTATGATGAGACGGTAATTAACTCATTTTGTCACTGTGCCATCATCCAGGATAAGCTCATATTCTTCTCTGCACAGTAGAATTAAACTCAAAGTGATTAGAATTTTTCTTTTCTTCAGAACAATACCTCAGTGTTGTTTTTCCACCAAATGTTTTAAATTAGCAGAACCTTTGGTTAGAGGACATGGTTGGAGGGAGGGAAAGGAGATTTCATTATTTTCCACAATGAGGAAAAATAAAATCATCTGTATCTGTGTCATGTAAAATTGGCTGAAGATGCCATAATTCACAGCCCCCCTCCATCACGATTTCACATGGAGGGTGAAGGGAGCTGTATAAAAAAGATGACTCTCTTCCTTTCCGTGTGGCCTAATGATGCTCTGAGCACTTTGGCTGATCACATTAAACCTGGGCTACTGCATTGTGTTCTTCCCTCTGGTATCCTGCTGTGCTCCATCCAACTGACCCTTTATGTAAATTATTTATTATGGCCCACAGAACATTTAAGATACAGTTTTATGGGCAGACTTGGAGAGAATACATTTTCCAAGCCCTAGAACCGAACGCTCGAGAGACAGTTGCAAGGCTGGGAGCACTTCGGTGCTGCCTCTGTTCCTTTGAGACAAAGGTTCAGCCTGCCAGGTAACTCCCAGAGCCTGTTTCGTGTGGCTGGTGTGTTTGTGGGACCCTTTGGAATTTCTGTTCTCCAGAGTTCCCAGAGGATTGTAAAGAAGACAGGGTGATATAGAATAAAGAGTCTACACGTTCGTCTTCGAACTTTACATTCTTTGGAGCTTCTTGGGAAAGTGTCTGGATGTTTCGAAAGCACTTTAAAGTTTGCCGAGTCACAGCACACATTTTCTGGTTGGTGCTGCACAGTATTTCCATTCCGGGGGCCATGCTGGCAGTGATGTCTCCCTCCTAGACCGGAGGAGACAGCTCAGAGAGGACGGGGGCTTTGCCAGGGGCTGCGACTGCAGAGCGATGGGGCCTGGCCTGGCCTGCCATGGGGTGGGGGTGGGGGATGGCCCCAGCAGGTGCCCATAGAGCTGGGGAGGAGGGTCTGGGGAGGGTCTGTGGCCTGGGAAGGCTGTGGAGACGTGAGCTATAGGATGGGGGCTCTGAGCAGCGAGTGATGGGCGCTGGCAGAGGTGGAGGGGCCTGGTGGACAGTGCTGTTTCTGGTGTGGACGGGAGCATGGAGGAAAGGCTCAAGGCTGAGGAAGAGCCGTGTCCTGATTGGCTGGAGTTTAGGATGGACAGTGGGAGGAGGAAGGCTGTTCTGGGCACTGTTCTTTTGGTTATGTGAAAGGGAGCCCTACTCAAGCCAGCTCAGGTGAATTGGGGGTGGGGAGAGAGGGTTCCTTCCTCTAAAGATGCAGGAAATGGCCTGGAGGCTCAGGCTCCAGGAGCAAGAATTCCCCTGGGGCAGGAACACAAGGGAAAAAAAAAAGATGATTTGGTCTCTCTGTCTGTATTATGTGCTGCTGGTTCCTATTTATGAATATATAGGTTAATTTGAATTTTAAATGGGATTTTACTCCACAGAGGGAATCCCTCTAGATGCCAGGCAGACCCT